GTAGTAGTAGTACTAATTCTAGTGGTGGTGGTAGTAGTAGCATCAGTATTACTTTAAGTAGAAGAACTAGTAGTAGTAGTAGTAGTAGTAGTAGTAGTAGTAGTAGTAGTAGTTGTAGAAGTAGAAGTTGTTGTAGTATCTTAGTCGTATTAGAAGTAGAAGTAGTAGTAGTTGTAGTATCTTAACAGTATTAGTAGTAGTAGAAGTAGTAGTGATTGTAGTGGTGGTAGTAGTAGTAACATTATTATTAATGGTAGTATGAATAGTAGCTAGTAGTTGTTGTAGTGATGGTGGTAGTAGTATTAGTATGAGTAGTAGTAGTAATTGAAGTGGTTGTGGTAGCAGTAGTAGTAGTAGTAGTAGTAGTGGTGATGGTATTAGTAGTAGCTGTTGTAGTGGTGGTTGTAGAAGTAGCATCAGTATTACTATTAGTAGAAGAACTAGTAGTAGTAGTAGTAGTAGTAGTGTATAAGTAGTAGTTATTGTAGTGGTGGTAGTAGTAGTAGTAACATTAGTATTTAGTAGCAGTAGTAGTAGTATTAGTAGTTTTTGTAGTAGTAGTATTTGTTGTTGTAGTGATAGTGGTAGTAGTGTTAGTTTGTATTGCTTTGTTTTTTGCCATCAGATCAAAACAGTCAGTTGCATCAAGCTAAAATACAAATGAATGGTGGTTTAAAAACTTCATGACACTTGTTATGGAAAACAGTGGGATAATTGCGTGGAAGAACTCGACTTCCCAAGTAATTTTCCTTCTGGTATAAAGGTCATGCCTGCTTTTAGATCTAGATTAGATTGTACTTAATATTACATTACGTTTTTTTTGTTTTTTTAAACTCTTCTCATGTTGGCTGGCCGGCATCAGACTATAACGATTGTAGTAAGGGGGCGTTTCAATTACATGTCGTATCTAACCGGTACATATATTTAAGTTTTTCATGATTTCAACATTTTCAACATTAACAAATATATTATGCACCTCGCTTCTTTTTCTTTCATTTTTCTTTCTCCTTTTCACCATATAGCGCTTCTTCAGTCATTAATTATATCACTGAACATGTATTTTGGTATCTCTTTTATTGAAAGGATAATTAAAGCTGAAGGGAAAACTATTTGGTCGAACACTGTCTACTTTATTGAGTTTTCTACTATACTTTTGTTTACTTTTTCACACACAAACACACACACGCACGCACACACACACACCCACACATACACGCACACGGGTCTTCCGTAGTCTTCTCTGATGGCAGTTTAAATCCTCTCCACTTGTATATATTCAATTACATCAGTCTACTGACACACTTTGTTTATATAGCCATTTTGCCAGATCTCCTCATGCCGTTTGTACGCACTTCCCTTCTTTGAACAATGTGGACTCGATACTCCCTGTCCGTCATTCTCTGCTTTCGAAGCATTTTGCGGTTCTAAGTTTTCATAAGTTTTCATTTCGCTGATCATACCATTGGGGAGCTCGTACCATTTTCTTGGCACATCGAGATGAATCACAGCGCATTTACAGCGGAACATTATCTCAAGATGCCCCTAACCCCCTAAGCAATGCGGTGTGAGCTCTCAGGCGCGGATCCAGGATTTCTTAAGGGGGCCCAAATTTCAAATTATGCGAGTCAAATATTTGTACGTAAAGGTGACAAGCCATGGCGTAATGAACGGGGGCAGAAAAAGAAATCCGCATCACCCCAATCTTCGTGCAGGCCCCTCTAAACGTTTCTCAAAGTAGGTTGGGGAGGCTAAAGGATTTACGATCAGGTAGAGCATAGCATATATTGGCGTGGGGTTTAGGGGCAAAGCCCCGGCGGGGGTCAAGGGTCTGAGCCCCCGGAAGCTCAAGGTGTATGGGCACATAATTATGGTGAAATGAGCATATTTTGATACCTTATTCATGAAACTGGCAGATCACTAATTGGCGTGGGGTCCAGAGGGCTTAGCCCCCTGAAACTCAGGGATTTGAGGCACATTTTAATAATGGTCAGATAAGCATCCAGGGGCTTGTCTAAGGCCCTCTGGCGGGGTCGAGGGGGCGGAGCCCCCGGAAGCTCAGGGGCTTTAGGCATTTAATTACGGCCATATGAGCATGTTTTTATACCATATTTAGGACACTGGCAGGACACTAATTGGCGTAGAGTCCAGGGGCGGAGCCCCAGAAGCTCAGGGGTTTTAGGCATTAAATTAATGTCAAATGAGTTTCCAGGGGCCCACCTTAGGGCTCCAGGTGGAATCCAGAGGACAGCGCCCCCGGAAGCTCAGGGGTTTTAGGCATTTAGTCATGAACAGATGAATATATTTTGATATCTCATTATTTTGTGACACTGACGGGTCACTATTTTTTTTCCTCTCTTTCTTTTTATTTCTCTTTATTATACACTGTTGCTCATAACGGTGGAATATTTTTTTTTATCCCAATTTATGGAATTATTTTAAAAATAATTTAAAAATACTAGATCTAGATAATAGTATACAGTCTCAGATTTTATTGAATAATAATTTGCCAATATGTGTTTTGCGTGACTGGCAAAGCATGTATATTATGCTACTATGTTTATTAACTAGGGGACCTATGCCCTTAAGTCATGAATGACAGTAATGAGGATTAATGCCTCACAAAAGGGCACTAATATAGCACATCCACACGGTGTTGATCCTGGGGCCTCACAGTTACGAGGCCATTGCTTTGTCACTGAACCATGAATGTACGCAGTGGGGGCTATGGTAGGGGGCAGTTTCCATAAATTTTTAAAAAAAAACAGAAAATGCAATAAATTTTCAATAATTTATTGCATTGTACCCCGGTCCCCAACATAAAAAAATCCTCTGGACGGCCATGCATTATGGCTCAAGGCATGGGCACACAGAAGATTTGTTTACGCAGGGGGGGGGTTTGGGGGTTAAACCCCCCCCTTTGGAAATTTTTTGTGTGTAAACCCCCCTAAAAAAAACCTAAAACCCCCCCCCTTTTGTTTTTTTTTTTTTTTTGTTTTTTTGTTTTTTTTTAATTATTAAAAAAAAAAAAAAAAAAAAAAAAATATTCCCATGGCCGACCTAAAAAAGGTGACCTTACCCCCCCCCCCAACGGAGCAAAATGTCAAATTTCCAAATTTCGAGACCAAAAAAAAAAAAAAAAAGTGTCCTCTTACCCCCCCCCCCCCCCCCCCCCCCCCCCCCCCCCCCCCCCCCCCCCCCCCCCGCTTATTCAGCGGTCGGCTGAGTCGTTGCGATTTTTTTGGGACCAAAAAAAAAAAAAATGTGTCCTCTTACCCCCCCCCCCCCCCCCCCCCCCCCGCTTATTCAGCGGCTGGCTGAGTCGTTGCGAAATTTTCGGACCGATTTATAAATGTTAAAACCCCCCCCTTGAAAAATCCTGCGTACGCGCCTGCTTAAGGGCATAGGTCCCCTAGTTAATAAACATAGTAGCATAATATACATGCTTTAGCAGTCCCGCAAACACATATTGGCAAATTATTATTCAATAAAATCTGAGACTGTATACTATTATCTAGATCTAGTATTTTTAAATTATTTTAAAATAATTCCATGAATTGGGATAAAAAAAAAATATTCCACCGTTATGAGCAACAGTGTACTTTTTCCAAAAAAAAGTGAAGGGGAGGAGCTCGAGGCTTCGAGCCCCTACGTTCCGCGGGCCCTGACATGCAGGCCTCTAAATAAGCATATTTCTTCCTTGACTGTAAATTTAGGAATTTGCCATGTTCCAACAAACGCATAAAAAAGTATAATTTAAAAAATAAAAAGTGAGGAAAAATCTCGGAAAATTACGTCATTTTAGCAACTTCTGTAAATCATCGGCACCTTGTAGGCGGGAAAAATTCAACTGATCTCCCTTACCTTTTTTCTTTCTTTCTTTTCTTTCCTTTCCCTTCCTTTCCTTCTCTCTCTTTTAGGTTTGCTGGGGCCCAGGGGGAGGCAAGGGCCTTTCGCCCCCCCCCCCCGATCCACACGTTGTTGGCGAGATTAATCGCAACTGATCTCCCCTTCTTTTCACTCTTTTCTTTTCTTCTTTCTCTTTATTGTTTCCTTTTAGTTCTCCTCTTTCCCCATCCCTTCCTTCTCTCTTTCTTTTTGGCGGGGGGGGGGGGGGGAGGCAAGGTTATTTCGCTCCCCCCCCCCCCGATCCATAACTAGTTGGCGGGAAAATTGCAACTTATATCCCCCTTCTTTTCTTTTCATCTTCCACTTATTTCCTTCCCTTTATTTCTTCTTTTCCTTTTTTCTTTCCCTTTCCTTCCTTCTTCCTTTTTTTTTTTTTTTGCTGGCGGGGGGGGGGGAATCAACAGCCTCGGAGGCAAGGCCATTTCGCTCCCCCCCCCCCCCCCCCCCTTCTTTCTTCCTTCTCTTTTCTTCTTCCTCTTCTTTCTTTCCCTGCCTCTCCTCTTTCCCTTTCCCTTTTTCCTTCTCTCTCTCTCTCTCGCTCTCTCTCGCTCTCTCTCTCTCTCTCTCTATCTCTACAACGTATGTACAGTGAAACAAGGGCACCACCGTTACTCACAACCCGCTCATTCATCATAAATGTGTGCGCGCGTGTGTATGCGTGTGTGCGTGCGTATTTATGTGTATATAACAAAGACGTTTAAATATAATGTATATTTGTTTTCCTGAGTAAAATTTAAGATGAAACCATGAATTTTGATTCTAGGGCTATTTGTGTGAGACATTGCCGTTTCCAAAATTTGCTTTGTTTTGCACCCCTAATTCACGGTTTGAAGCAGGGAGTAATATTCGCATGACGGTTTCCATACAATCAGCTGTGTTGAACGTATAAGTCTATTGAAATAACATTAGATTGATATTTTAGAAGTCTTTGCTATCATGTGATTACAGATAAAGTAATGATAAATAATAATGATGATAAACTAATAACGATGACAAATAATCAGAATATAAAAAGACATTTTTATCAACCCAATGCCTTTGTGTGCATCAGTCATTACGCATGTGAGGACAACAGAGAATAGTAAACCAAATAATTGTTCTTCTTGCAATGAATATATCATGTTTAATAACAAATATTTAGTCAATACAGGGTACCAAAGTCTGGTGAGTTACATAATCATGTCCGTTCGAGATGAACCTCTATTCTACACAAAGAAAGCAACGAATTATATCATCTATATAGTAAAAATATCAATATCGTGTTTATAAATTGTATTTTAGATGAACTTTTAAAAACAGAAAGAAATGGAGAAAGAAAAAGGGGTAGAGAATCCTGAACCGATGATCTTTTCATTCCCACTCTCTTTCCCTCTCTTTTAATACAGGCTCGTTCAGTGGCATACGCAGGATTTTTTTAAAGGAGGGTGTTTGAACATTTGGAAAGTGACGCTCATTACATTTTACGTCAACATAAAAAACGCCCAGTTTTGCCGCATCATTTCTGAACGAGGCCTGAAAAAGATGGTTTCTCTTCAAAGGAATTATAATGTGGGTTAAAACAGTTAGCAGAGTGGTTAGAAACCTATAGGGTTAGTAAAAGTTAGGCAATCCGTCATTTAGGGGGTATAAACTTGGGGACGGCCCTAGAATCCAACTTTTGTCAAAATGTGTTGAGTCTCTACGCGGTGGTATCACTCTTATCGATGTCGTGTGCGGCACATGATAGTTATACATTTCGCGTAAAATTGGTAATTTGCGGGAATGTTCTCGGATTTGATTTTTTTTTTGGTCTAAGAGCATACAATTTGACGAAAAGGGGTGATATTTGTTCGCAAACATGTAAATGCGTATGTTCATTTTTTTTCTCGAAAACAGGCTACTTTTTGTAACTGTGTACCCGATTAGTTAGACATACGAATTTTATCTAGAGCCTTATATTTGTACCAGCTCTTGTGCAAAAGGGATCATGTTTTCAGTATAATTTGGGGGCAATTGTTTTTGAAAGTATGTAAAATAAGGGGTCATTTTCGACTCCGCTGTATCGATCACGCGTCAATATGAAGTGACACCACCTGTATGCTCTGCTCGTCCAGACCCAACCGCGAATGAATTTACGGCCGAGCGAACGTGCAGAAAAAAGGCTCTTTATATCTATCAGCTCCTAGTCCGCCCCAAGTTCAGTGTGTCCGCTGCCTTATATCATCTATTTGTCCTTGAGTTCAGCCAGGAGATCAGCTAGAGCCATGAGGATGTCTTTCTTCATCATGTCAGCATCCTTTTTATAAGAAAATAAAAACACTTTGATAATGATGATGATGATGATGATGATACTCCTACTGCCAGCGTGAGCAAAGCACACTAAGCGGTCATGCTTCCTACATCTCTTAGTGAAGGTCTTTCGCACCGTCCAAGGTCACTCCACGAACTTACAAGCAGTCGAGTACAATACATAACTATATGAAGAAATTAATGGCGTACTATCAGGATTCGTAAAATTATGACAAACTTATTAAAAAAACGGCGCGGTCAAATTCAAAATGCTGCAATTAATCCTTCACACATATATCATTTTTTATATTTATCATCTTCTCTGACCTGATAGTGATTACAAGTTTCAAAAATGCATAGCTTTCTTATATTTAGTCAGATTTAATTGATACTTTCATCAGTTTGTTTCATCTGACTTTTCTGCTTTCTTTCAGAGTAGTTGTCTATTCCCTTAAATTTCCCTTTAAGTTTATGAAAGCTATACTGTAACTGGAACTGAAGGACAGGACGGAACCAATGTTCCAGGTCTATCCAGGAACATGGGCTGATGTCAGCGGACAATTTAGTCGTTGTCATGATACTCAAGAAGCAAGGGATACTCAAGAAGCAAGGGATACCCACATTAAAGACATGGCTAAGGATTAACATTTACCATTGAATTGTATTAATCTTGGATTCAAGATTCATATGTTTGTACTTCATATAATTATGTTCTTTTGTAAAACTCATCTGTGTGAGTTGGTCTTCCGTTTGCAAGGTTAACAAAGTCTTTGTGGCAGTATTTATCTTCTTCACTAACTTCACCACCCAAGTAGAAAGTTCACCAAAGGCATCGGATGCAAAGGTTAAAGAGTAGTTTGAAAATGGGTTGGGAATACTTTATGATGTTCATGGGTTATGTGTTATTCGCGACCGATCGGGAGTTCACACGGTGACCTTGGAAGCCGTTCCAAAGGGTCTCACAGAGACGCAGAAGGGTGACTACTCATTGTGCATTGCTCACTTCTACTCCTACAACTACTACTACTACTACTACAACTACAACTAAAACTGTGTTTCCCCAGAGAAGCCTTATCAGCATCATTGCCACGCTTCCTCATGGTCCTGTAATTATTACCCCAGCATTTTGTTCGGAACCCATTAGCACCTGAGTGGAGAATGGCATGTCTTGTCAAAAAGACATTAGTGTCGGGTTGGGATTCGAAACATCAACCCTTCGATTGAGAACCCCTCTCGATTAAATTAGGCGGTGTCACACAGAGGCCAAAATTAATCCTGCTGCTCAGTCATCCGTGGCAGCACAATTATGAATAGGGTGTAATAGTTACCCTTTACCATCAAATATGATTTAATGTCACATAGGTTACAACTTTTTGATCAGAAGCTACCAAAGTTGGCAAAACGTTTTCGATACGTACAGTGTATATATATATATATATATATATATATATATATATATATATACATACATATATATATATATATATATATATATATATATATATATATATATATATACACATATATATATATATACATACATACATATATATATATATATATATATATATATATATACGTACACACACATGGTGTATTTAATTCCAAACTGTCTTTGAATATGATCCTTACCTCTTTTTCCTCCACTTCGAGTCCTTCACCTGACAACTTATCTACGGAAAAGGGAGATTAAACAAAAATTCAATTCATTATTGTTGCATTAATTTGTATTTGAAAAAAATACTGGTATGAAGGGGTGACCAAAGTGATGATATTCGATCTATGATTTCTCATATTCATTCAATTTTCATAACGCCGGCGTCTGAATGAGAACTACTTTCCGTCAATAGTAATTGGATGGTCATTTCTTTTTCTTTTTTTTACTTCTGTCTCTTTTTGTTTAATCAATAAATTATGCATGCCCTTTAGCAATAATTGTACTTATACATATATTTATTAAATTTCTAACTAGGCATTCTCAGCTCTGAATACAATAAAAATACTGCTAGAATTGAATTTAAAATCACACTAGCGCTAAAAAAAAAAGCGCTAAATAATTTTTTGTTTAAAAGAAAAAACAACATATTATTGAAATGTTGCAAAAACAAACAAATACAAACGTATCCCCTGGGAAGGATTATTGAATTTTCATTTATTGATTTATAGGACTTGCGGGTCCCCCCCCCCCCCCCCCCTCCCCAGTCGTTTTGCTTATAATATGAGCGTATTTAACTTTTCGAAATATTTCCAGAACGCCCTATGGAATGTGAAGAAAAAAAGGGAAAAAACATATATTAAAAAAATTACATTATCGTTGACAAGTTGAGCAAGTCAGTGTAAATAAGGATTAAACAGAAATCTGTTTTCATTATTCACTTAGTATTAAAAAAAGAACATACATTAAAGTGTGTTCCCTTTAATGTATGTTCCTTTTTAAGTACTAAGTGAATAATGAAAACAGATTTCTGTTTATTCATTATTTATTTATCTATTTATTGCACACAAATCCAGTCTGAGGGATTAATTAATGTGAAAAAACAGTTTTGCATATTGGGAATGCACAATAGACCAATACGAAAATTAAGGGATGCATGAATATAATTTGTATGTTCATGGCGGCTACAAAGTATCATTATCACCCAAGCTTTATACCAACTACCCCAAGACGTTCAATTCAAAGCATTCAGGAAATAATTTCCCCACAAGGTACCCATTTACTGCACCTGGGTAGAAGGTGGCAAATTTAGATTAATGTCAGGGCAAAAGACATTAGCGCCGCGAAAGGACTCAATCCGCGAACCATGCGATCCACGATTCGGCAGGATATCTAGTCTGACCGTGACATTTCAAACTATGTATATTAGATATAGGCCTACCTGTATATATATATATATATATATACCACCACTCTACTCCCATCGTATATTAGGGGGGTTTATTGTACGACTCATCCTCGGTTAAAGGTTTGTCCGTGGTACATATCCTGCACTTAACGAATTTCGAATCCGGACCAAACAACAAAAGTTAACCGTATCAGTCTAAACGTATCCATAAAACCCTTTCGAAATCTGTTACTTTAATCCTATATCTAGCTGGTCATGGTTCTAGAAGATTTCTTTCTTTTTTTTGGACGAGGCGAGGTTGAATGCTTGCCATTTATATATGTTTTGGAGGCAATTAAAGGTTTCAGGCCCATTCAACCCCCCCCCCCCCCCCTCCCCTCCACCTTTTCTCCCATTAGAATAGCTATAGCTTTGATTACGAAACTAAGCATGGAGTACTAATTATCAGAGCAGGAGCAAAGTCAGAGTTTGTTTGGAGATTTGGGTTATTTACCTTTACAAATCACTCCAGCTTCCTCAAAGTGACTGCAATAGGTCCTCTCTCCCATCGGGCAGTTCAGGATTGAAGGTTCGTTGCCTACACACTCCAAACTGCCCAGATTGATCGGTCCTGAGCCCATGCCGAAAGTCTTGTAGCTAGTGAAGCCAGAAGTGAAGCTAGATGCTCCAGGGAAGCCCAACTCCCTGCACACTACATCAGCGTCGTTCTGCCCCTAATCATAGTCGCATACTGTTCCCCATTGCCCATTGGCATAGACCTCGACTCGACCTTGATTGGTGGAGCCATCTGATGAGGCAAGTCGCACAACTGAAAGGGATATTTGAATTGAATATATGACATGAAATAATTCTGCAATGGTCTTAAAAAACGGTTAATGATTGTACCTAATAATAATGCCAGGTAACACTACGTAACCCCTTTGTACCACTGCTACGTATCGCCACATAACAACACATAAAACCAGGTATTGTCACGTAAGGCCATGTAACGCAATGTTCACCATGTAACAATCATTACCACGTAACGTAACGTAACACCAAATAACACCATTTATTCTAACGTATTGACAGGTACTGGAACGTACTGGTATTTATACTTTTGTTAGCTGGATAACATAACCACCGCGGTATTTGCCTTTATAAATAGTGAGGCAAAGCATTAAATAATCAAGTCTAATTGTTTGGGACCTCTTTGCAAGCTTTCGTAGCTTGTTATGTATGAAAATGAGTTCATACTGGGCTCGCTGGGGTACGAAAAATAAGTTGCATCCCGGCGCGTCGAGGGGTCATGGCAGGATGTACACGTCCCCTTGAGCCTATAAAACACCCAGGCCTCTCATGGCAGTCGATATCTCTCTAATATTATATTGGACACTGCACATGAAGTTCATTCATTCCGATTGTGGGAAGAGGAGAATTACGTTATTTACCCTGAGAATGTATGGACTGAGAAGGATTATTGAATTTGTATTCATTGATTTATAGGACTTACAGGTCCCCCAAAGAAAAAGGCTATTAACATCACATTACATTACCCTTTTCTCTTCATCTTTCAGCTTATAAAATGAGCGTATTTTACTTTTCATAATATCAGTAGGTAAAATAAAACATTCTCACCTGGTCCAGAACTTGCACCAATAGAACCCTCTGTGGAATGGGGAAAAAAGTTAACTTTATCGGTGATTATGATTTCGCAAATATTTACAGAACAAGCAAGTCAGTGTGTTGCCTTAATAATGTTTGAATACTCATTGAATAATGAAACATAAAATTCTGTTTACCAAGGTAATCCTTTATCATCATCACTCTTTACTTTCTGATGGCCCTGAAATTATTACCCCAGTAATTGTCAGGTACTAATTTACACCTGGCATGATAACAGTGTCTTGCCAGAGGACGTTAGTGCCGGACTGGGCTTCGAACCCTCAAGCCCAGGATAAAGAGTAAAGTGAATGAACCACTATACCACGAAACCATTGAAACCGAAACTAGGTCTTTCCATAAATGCCTCTAGTATATGCAATACATGATATTTCTACTTACATTATTATTGCCCACACATTTATCTTGACGAATGCATTAATGTGTGCAAAACATTTTTCCATGTTTGAATGCACAATGGACCAATACAGAAAATGGATGCATGATATAATATCTAGGTTCCCCCCCCCCCCCCCCCCCCCACTCAGAGGTCGGATGACCGCATGCGTGTTGCCAAAATGTCCGGTAAAGGGTACTTTTCGTGCGACAAAGTCCGGCCTGAGAATTGTAAAAAAAGGGGTGTTTTTGACTTTTCACCCGGAGATTTCTTAAAAAGGGGGTGTTTTTCTTTTTTTCTTCTCTCATCTCTTTGGACTCCTGAGAAATTATTCCGAATTTAGGGGGGTACATTGAGCATTTTTCCTGATTTAGGGGGGTCTCCAAGGCAGGAAAGCCCGCGAAAAGCCCGCGAAAGGGGGGTCGGAAATGTTTGCAGTCCTCAGATAGGGGGTGCTTTCAAAAAGAGGGTACGAGCATATGCGTACCCTAAATAAAACTGAGTGGGGGGGCTAGGTTTACGGTGCCTACAACGTATTATGATCACCCTAGCTTTATACCAACTGCCCTAAGGCGTTCAAAGCATTCAGGGATATACGGTACACCCATTTATTACACCTGAGTGGAAGGTGCAAATTTAGGTTAATGTTAGGCAAAAGACATTAGCGCCGCCAAGGACTCGAACCGCGAACCATGCGATCCATCCACGATTTTTTGAGATATCCTATCTAACTATGTATAAGTCCCTGCCTTAGCACAAGTTACTCTACTCGTAAAAGCAAAATGAGTTTTCTGCTGTCCCGTACGATACCGCAGAGTGGTGATGACTCACATGAAAAAATGTGTTTAAAGAATGATAATTATAATATATATATATATATATATTATATATAGGCGTGAAGAAAATGGTCTTTGAACGTGAGACGTAGCTGTACTTTACAAGTTTATTACGAGCTTACGGCTTGTGAGGCCTTCTTCGGGTTCATTAGGGGTGTTGATTGACGACCCATGCTCTACTTCGAATCAGGACCATCACGAAAAGTTAACCCTGTCAGTCTAAACGTATCCATGAAACCCTTTCGAAATCTCTTACTCTAATCCTATATCTAGCTGGTCGCGACTCTAGAAGATATCATTTTATTTATTTGTTTGGACATGGTTAGGCATTGGAGGCCAAGGGGCTCTTACATTGATTGCCTGCTGACAGTTGCTTGAAATCATTATAATCGATTTGTTTTGAGGTGGCGAGGTTAATGCTTGCCAAATTTGTATTTATTTATTTGTTTTTGCAGGCAATTAAAGGTTTCGGGCCCATTTAAACCCCCCCCCCCCCCCTCCTTCCCTCCCCCCTTTCTCCCATTAGAATCGCTATAGCCTTGATTACGAACCAAGCACGGAGTACTAATTATCAGAGCAGGAGCAAAATCTGAGTTTGTTTGGAGATTTAGGTTATTTACCGTTACATATCACTCCAGCATCCTCAAAGTGACTGCATTTGGACCTCACTCCCATCGGGCAGTTCAGGATTGAAGTTTCGTCGCCTTCACACTTCAAACTGCCCAGATTGATCCGTTCTGAGCCTGGGCCGAAAGTCTTGAAGTTAGTGAAGCCAGACATGAAGCTAGATGCTCCAGTGAAGCCCAACTCCCTGCACACTACATCAGCGTCGTTCTGCCCCCAATCATCGTCGCATACTGTTCCCCATTGCCCATTGGCATAGACCTCGACTCGACCTTGATTGGTGATGGTGGAGCCATCTGATTCGACAAGTCGTACTAAAAGGGATATTTGAAATGAATAAGTTATATGACATGAACTAATTCTGCGATGGTCATTAAACACGGTTAATGATTGTGCTTAACAAGGTAACACGGCGTAACGCCTCGTATCACTGTGACGTATCGCCACATAACACCTAGTAAAACCTGTATCGTCACGTAACGTCGCGTAAGGCCATGTAACGCAATTTTCACCACGTAACAATGATTACCACGTAACGTATCGTAACACCAATTTCTTTCAACGTATTCTCACGTACTGGAACGTACTGGTATTTATACTTTTCAGCTGGATAACATAACCACCGCGGTATTTGTTATCACGTATAAATAAATGACAACTGCGTGCGACAAAATGTCCCACGAGCACTCACAGAGCTCTCTGTTACAATATATAATCAGAGTAAGACTCCATTTTTGTGCGCCTTGATCATTTCATTTTAAGTGGAATGATTTGGCGCCTTATAATTATTATGATCATTAACGTCATCATAAGTTTTACAAAAATCAAACGAAACCGCCGTGGATTACCGCCTTATATCTGAACGAGGTTTTATGGCTATGTTACTACACCGCCAAGGGCGTCAATCACGAGGGTACACGTCCCTCCCCCTCACGATTTTTCCTAGGCCCCCCCCCCCCCTGTTACACCCACAAATGTAATAACGCCCACAAATGTAATAACACTTTACCCACAAATGTAATAACACCCACAAATGTAATAACACTTTACCCACAAATGTAATAATTTCACCCACAAATGTAATAACCACTTTACCCACAAATGTAATAATTTTGAATCACCCACAAATGTAATAATGACTTTACCCACAAATGTAATAAATTGTGATATTTTGAAGGAATGAGGCGGTGAGGTCTTAGTTTGAAGATTTTTCATTTTTTTTAAATAACCGAGTCTGAGTAAAGACTGCGCTCTAATCCATGCTTTATTACCGGGTCTTAATTTGGAAGATGGAGGGGTCTTAGTTTAAAAGGTTTTATTTTATTTTGTTTTATTTTTTTAACTTTTGAATAACCGGGTCTGGAGGAAAGACTACGCTCAATACTCATGTTCTTCCACACGAATAAGATGATGGGGTCTTAGTTTTGAAGATTTTTAAAAAGTTTTGGAATAACCGGTCTGGAAGAAAACTACGCTCTAAACCCATGCTTTATTACCGGGTCTTTATAGTTTGGAAGATGGTGGGGTCTTAGTTTAAAAGTTTTTTTTTTTTTTTTTTTTTTTTTACTTATGAATAACCGGGTCTGGAGGAAAGACTACGCTCGATTCTCATGTTATTCCACAGGAAAAGGATTATGGGGTCTTAGTTTTGAAGGTTTTTTAATTTTTGAAATAACCGGGTCTGGAAGGAAAAAAAAGAGTGCTCATTCCCCCCCCCCCCCCCCCCCGCTTTTTGGGGTAAAATAAAATAGTGCTCTTACACCCCCCCCCCCCCCCCCTCAAGTCCGTTCCTGGCATATTATGATTATTTATCGGAAACATAATTAATTCTGTTCAACTTAAGATGTATACAAAGTCAAACCAATACAAATGATCAAAATTACCCAACTCCTCTATTGCTATAGCGCTCCCTTTTGATCAATGTTTTGCCCAAATCAGCGTACCACTACATTAAAAAGGGAGCGCAATTGCCAAATATATATTGTAATATGGTATGTTACTTGATAACGTATCAATGTTGTGTTTCTCTTCAATATACCAATAAAGAGACGAGTTATACATTCAATTACATATAACCAATGACAAAGCACAATAGATATAGTGGCTATGATTGAATGGATATCCAATAAATGAATGAATGAAAAGTGAATGAAAGAAATGTAACCTTACCCAAACTGGGTATGGCGCTTGCCGCACTGAGGCAAAGAAGAAGCGAGAGTATAGTGTAGCCTTCCATCATAGCACGATTCAACTAGGACCCTCGAGTACGATGTATCGATGAAAAGTGTTGCTAATTATTGAAAGAGGTGCGTTTATATGTAGAGCCTCTCCTTCAGAGATTTGAAAGGATTCGAAGTATTTACTCTTTCTCGTAAACCAGCCGACCGTGGTGGCTGTAAAAAAAAAACTCTCTGTTGCAAATTTGCTTTGGTGAAAGCAGAAAGATTAGGTAATGTATCGAAGGTCTCTCTCTCTCTCTCTGCTCTTTGGTCGTTTTCGTTACTTTTTACCCCCCCCCCCCCCCCTATAGGTACTAACTCCACTTTTACCAACCAATCCCAGCGAATGTATTAATTCTGTTTAGACCGTTAAAGGGACTTTGTGACATTGTTCAGGTGAGAGAAATGGTGCTAAGGTAGTGACTTCAATGCTAGATACCTGTATTAAAATTAATTTAAAGATAGTCTGAAAGTTTGAGTAAAAACAGACCATAATTAATGATAAAACATGGGGAAAATGATCTGATCGTTTCCTTCATTTCCTAACTTTCTTACTATAATTTAATTAGATTTAGATGAATGATAATCGTCACAAAGCAATGAACTGTATTTATATTCCATTCCAAACATTTAAGTGTTGACAGTTTTTTTAACCCCAGACAAATTCCCCCTTGGAAAGTTTTCCGGAGTAGTTGTCAAAGGGGAGTATATCCTAGAGAGTGATCACCCTAGGGGGTAGTTGTCCTATGGGGTAGTTGTTCTGGAGGGTGGTTGTCCTAGGGGGTATTTAGCTGGGGGTAGGCTAATCATCCTAGAGGGTAATTGTTCCTGGAGTAGTCGTCCTAGAGGGTGGTTGACTTGGGGTGGTTGTCCGAGGGGGTGGTTGTCTTAGAAGGTGGTAGTCCAGGTGGTAGGTGCCCTAGAGCCAATAGGGACTTTTAGATTTGCACGTCGACAGCTTTGACTGCAACGTGTGACGTTATTTAAGGCACTGCGCATGCGTCACGTCGTCTCAGTCGGCGATCGAGAATGCGTCAACCTTGGTTTTCCTAAATCTAGTACGGTACTATATGCCGCGTGCGCATAAAATATACAGTTCCTCAGGTAGACAAAGGAACATCCCTTCCCTGCTATTATGTAAAAATGTGTAATAATAATAATAATAATTACAGTGCTTATATAGCGCCTAACACTTACTTTGTCAGAAGTCTCTAAGCGCTCTACAATAATGCAGCATAATTACCCTGGCTTTAGCAGTGCAGCTGTTACGCGCGCTGCGTTTCAAGGAATAAATTCCTGCCAGGTACCCATTTACTTCACCTGGGTGGAGTGTGGCAAATGTAGATCAATGTCTTGCCAAAGGACATTAGTGCAGCGGCGGGACTCGAACCGCGGACCTTGTGATCGACAGTCTGGCGACGTATCCACTCGACCAGGACAGGTTTCACATGCATATTCACCTGTTCTACACATTTTCACATAATAGCAGTGAAGGGATGTTCTACCACAGCAATAGGCCATTTTCGTAATGTAACCAAATTTAATGCATACGTCTTTGTGAAGTGCCTCAATACAAATTATTTCATTCACCTGGTAAGAATAATAGTATTTCAATAGACATAATCAAAACTGCATACATTGGTTGTTGCCAGGTTGGACAAACATTATGGCTTGACCTACTTAGCAACACTTGATATATGCAGTTTGCATTCTGACTATTGAATTACTATTATTCTTATCAGGTTAATGAAATAATTTGTGTTGAGGCACTTCACAAAGACTTGTGCATTACATTTGGTTACATTACGAAAATGGTCTATTGTTGACGGTAGAATGAGGAACTGTATATTTTGTCCTCTTTCTTTGTCCGTCATGTTCATAGTGTTACTTCCTCAATGCATGTATATCGTCGAGTGCAATCTAAAAGATTTCTGATTGTAGTCAACATGGGCAGTTGAGTACGTCGACACGCATGATCAGTCGGCATTCGTCGAGTTCTCGTCCACTCAATCTAAAAGTCCCTATTATCACGAATTTGTAATATCTTTTTACATTCAAGAAAATTGCGATCTTCTCTGATTAAGACGTATAAGTGCTCATTACATTGATCTTACAGATGCCAGTGTTATACTAAATGACTTTCTTGTGTGTACATGTGTACCATCTTACAATACGGTAACCTTATTAATTATACAACGAGAGGGTTCTTCTCAAGGTGAATTGTTCAGTGGTATAACAAGAAAGAAGATTTGGGAGTTGTTACTCCACGCCCAAACTTTCTATGCAATTACCTGTTTTGTATGTACTTCCTTTACGCATTGAGACTACAGTGCTTTGGATCAGCACAATGACCACCTACTGGATTTTATGATAATTACCGTGCTGTGAATGGGATCCCGCATGGTACTAGATATTTAAGCGAATAATAGTTTACTTTTTACTTAAATAATTTCGAGTGAAGTTCCACCCTGGTCATTGACACTGACTGCACAGACTCAGAATGTAATAGCCTACTTCGCTTCTTCGTATAACTCCCTCATAATACTCTATAAACATATGGAAAAGACTCTTTCGTCATGTTGCTCTTTTGTATTGTAGGGATTTATTTTTGAACTTCTTAACCTCCCCTCATATCCATGATTCATCTCTATAGGTCATCCTTCATTCACATTCACCCTTTTCATCCAACAATCCTTCCATCTATCGATCTCTCTGATTGGTTTCAATGTTCACCAGATGCAGCTTAAGTATAATGTACATATTCTTTGGATATTCAATATGTACCTTTTATGTTTGAATATTCAAGATACTTTGTGATGTTGATTTATACTTGTATGTGACTATATGAATATTAATTTGTTTCTTTTAATTTGCATGGAATGTATGTGGAATGCTACATAGAATGCAATAATACATTTGCACATTAAAACCTGGTCAGTTAGCCAGTAGTTATCAATCTGAAAACTGTCTGCTGGGCTGCCTCTGTGTTAAGAGTGCTAGGAATTATGTTAGAATCGCAACCCTACAGTATTATTATAAGACTATGTATTCTATGAGTATTCGTGTAGGCCTGCCTGCAGGCAAATTTCCTCTCCTAAAGGGCCGTATTGTGAAAATTTTAAAAACTACAGCTTTGAATGAACCTGTAGAGTTAAATAATAATCATTCTCTGTTATAACATATATATAAAGTGCTATAATAGGTAAGTACTGCTACCTCTCCAGTTTCGGTTTGTTTCCATCTGTGTGCTCAAACATTATATATATACTGTTGGTCATAATGGTGGAATCATTATTTTTACCCAATTTATGGAATGATTTTGAAAATCATTTATTCCTAATAGATCTAGATAATAGTATAATTCTCAGATTTTATTGAATAATAATTATTTGTGAGTGTTTGTTTTGCGTGACTGCTAATGCATGTGTGTGTTACTATGCATATCAACTAGGAGACGTACGTCCTTAAGTCATAACTTACAGTAATGAGGATTAATGCCTCACAAAAGGGCACTAATATAGCACATCGACACATCGACTGTACGCAGCGGGGGTTGGGGTACGCCCCCACAAATACAAAAAAAAAGAAAATGCAATAAATTTTTAATAATTCATTGAATTTTGCCCCGATCCCCAACAGAAAAAAAATAATCTGTGTGACCATGCCTTGAACCATAATGCATGGCCCTAAAGAGGAATAACAATACGAAATGCATTAAGCAACGTCTAGACATAAAGGTCAAATCTCAACTTTATTTTGTTATTCTTCTTTTATATTTCAAAGCGTTGCATGGGATCTTAATCATGTTGGTTTTTTCTACATCAATGCCCCCATTTAAGCATATTTTGAATCTGATCAAGCTTCGAAAAGTTCGTGGCCTGGAACTTTGTTTCGGTTGATGGTCAAATAAAGAAAATGCCCTTTATTGATCAGGGACAGTGTGAAAAAAGCGCACAGTAGTACTTTCAAGAGTCCTGTCGTTTCATTTAAAGGCACTATGTCCCTTTTGCAGCCAACCTCAAATGCTGTAGAACTTTGCAGGAATTATGAATATGTCATGTATGTCCTATCTGTGAAATTTAAACGTTAGCAGTGTCCTCGTATTCAAATTATGCAAGGAAACCCGTTTACTTGATAGACTTCACTGTCAGACACTATTGAGTGAATGACTGTTTTTTTTTCTTCTTTGGTAATAACATACATGAAAAGAGTTGTAAAGGGTACATGAGCATTTGTCTACATCAAACCCACTTCTTGTGATGGCCAAGATTAAACTGACTGAATCTTTGCGCAGCATAAAACGTATGACCATTCGGTACAATGGTCTGAAAATCAAGACTTTTACTTTTGGGCTCTGTAGCCCTAAAGTCGATTTGACAACTAATAGTCATTATTTTCCCACTTGAAGACATTTTCAAGCCCCACCTTTTTGAGGGAAGTTCTAAATTAGTATTATCTTTCAAATGCAGTTGGAAATTAACTTTTTCATTTTTTTTTTGGCCTGCAAATGGGACATAGTACCTTTAAGAAATAACCTCTCCGCCCCGGAACCCCGGCAATGTCTCTGCCAGGCCCCTCAAGCTGTGCCATATTGTACGGATCCATTAGAAAGCAAAATAAGCCCAATCAATGATTCGTATATATATATATATATATATATATATATATTATATATATATATTTAATGTGTACTTGCATATAGAGAGAGAGAGATATATATAGTTCTCCTATGCAAACTTTCCTCCGGGAAATGCATAATAAATTCGTTTTCGAGGGTTGGCAATGAAAATAGATAAACAGTAGAAAAAGACCACGAATAAAGAAATAAACAGCTTGGTCAATTTGTTTTGAAGCATTATCTTCAAACACCCGGACTGTTTAATCTGTATTATCCTTATAAATAACGTCTTAATCACTCTCAGATGGAAGATAATAACAATACGAATTGCAATATGCAACGTCTAGACATAAAGGTCGAATCTCAACTCTTTATTTTTCTTATTCTTCTTTTATATTTCAAAGCGTTGCATGGGATCTTAATCATGTTGTTTTTTTTCTACATCAATGCCCCCATTTAAGCATATTTT